CCCCAGCCCATACAGTGACATCAATCGTCTGCTACCACCATTAAAAAAACAAAAAGCCAGTAGTAAAATTGGCAAGCCTCCCTGCACCCCAAACCAACCTCAGCACCCAGAGCTGGCAAAACTGACCAGCTCTGTCATTCCCCGCACCCCTAAGTTGCTGCAAAGGTGGGAGGAGAGCCTTCTCCATTTCACAGGTGCTTTAAAAATATATTACATTATATATCGCCGCCTGCTCCAACATTTATGTGCCTACATGGCGAAGCTGACAAGTCTTTCCCCCTCACCTCTGCAGCAATTCCCCCGAAGTCTGCTGAGACTGATGAAGCTTGTCAGGTTCGCCAGCCTTACTCCGACCAGCTCCTGAAACAGAGGGGGGAAACTTGGTTGATTCCCCCCCTACTTTTTATAACCATGGGCATAGCCAGGACTTATGTTGGGGGGGAGGGCAGGACTGAGCTACCTGTGATGCGATTGGTCAGTTCGCAGAAGCCACACCTGTCGCTCAGTCAGGCTGCCAGTTGTGTCACCAGAATGCGCCACAACATCATCTAAGTGACCTTTCAAATATTCTGATTATTTCTACTTTTAGTTAAGTACAGTGGTACCTCGGGTTAAGTACTTAATTTGTTCTGGAGGTCCGTTCTTAACCTGAAACTGTTCTTAACCTGAAGCACCACTTTAGCTAATGGGGCCTCCTGCTGCCGCCGCGCCGCTAGAGCACAATTTCTGTTCTCACCCTGAAGCAAAGTTCTTAACCTGAAGCACTATTTCTGGGTTAGCGGAGTCTGTAACCTGAAGCATATGTAACCTGAAGCGTATGTAACCCAAGGTACCACTGTATTTTTATTTACTTGGTTTAGGGGAGGCTGCTGGTCCCCTGTCTCCCCCACCCGCGGCTATGTCCATATTTCTAATAGCAATGGCAATAGCAACGGCAGCAAGAAAGAGGAGAGGACCACTGGGTCTAGAGAGGCCGAATTCATCCCATTACTAACAACTTCCATGAATGCATACATCATACTTTTCCATCATAAAAATGCAGAAGGCAGCTTACAATAGGCTCATAAAAATAAATTACATGCGTGCGCACACAAACCCCATCCCTAAGACAAGAATGAAATAGCAGTAAATAATGAAAATCGCTAATCAGCAACCAAAAAAAGGGGATATAAAAGCCATTGTTGCTCATTATAAGCTACAGAAAATCGGACCATATTAGCCAGAGATCTACATTATAACAATGATGGCACCAGGTCAACTACCGTCAGAACCTAAGAAGAGATCCTATCTAGTCCAGCATCCTATTCTCACAGTGGCCAACCAGATGCGCTAAGGGGAAGCCCACAAGCAGGCCTTGATCACAACAGCTTTGCCCCCACTTGCAGTTCCCAATAACTGGTTTTCAGAGGCATGCCCTCTCTGAAAATGGAGGGAGGGCATTCAAGAGTCAAGGCACCACTATTGAAGAGGGCCTTTTGCTGTCACCTACTCGCTTGAGTTCTGATGGAAAGGAAATCCATAGAGCCTCACTTGCCAGTCTTATTGAGCAACCAATTTGTATGGGACATAATGGGGTTCTGGGCATTCACCATTCCACAGCCGCAAGTGAGACAATAGTACTACAGTGGTACCTCGGGTTAGATACTTAATTCGTTCCGGAGGTCCGTTCTTAACCTGAAACTGTTCTTAACCTGAAGCACCACTTTAGCTGATGGGGCCTCCTGCTGCCGCTGTGCCGCCAGAGCATGATTTCTGTTCTCATCCTGAAGCAAAGTTCTTAACCTGAAGCACTATTTCTGGGTTAGCAGAGTCTGTAACCTGAAGCGTATGTAACCTGAAGCGTATGTAACCCGAGGTACCACTGTATAGGCAATTCACACCAAAAAGGGCTGCAGTGCAATGGCAGTGAGGATCTGAAAATATCATGAAAAGAATTGCCTGGTTGTCAAAAAGGAGACATGACCGTTATATATGAAAATATTTCAATTTTTTAAGAGAGAGAGAGAGAGAGATAAATGCCTAGTGGAGAAGCACCCACAATATACTGCTTCCTGAGATTCCTCTGTTGTCAGTCCATTCCACGTCAGGATTTAGGTGGGGATCTCATGTTTAAATGATGCTCTGGCCAACTACTCACTACATTTAGAAGACTAGCATATCAAGGAGAATGAAAGACCAGAGCTCTCTTCCCAGTATGTAAGTTCTGCAGGCAGTTTTTAACTAGAGGTTGTCGCTGCTATCAACAACCACAAAAACTGCAGCGTGACAACAGTCTTACATTTTTATGTATATGGGAAGATATGCGAAAGCATTGAAGCAGGAAAGCTTTTCAACATGCAATCTGAAATGCTACAGCTGAGCATCACATGAAGCTGCTGAGCATGTGTTTAAGCTCAAGATTGAAAGCTGGTGTAGAACCAGGAAGTGCCTTATCCAGAGTCAGGCCATTGGTCCATCTAGCTCCTATTGTCTACACTGACTGGTCTCCAGGGTTTCAGATACGAGTCTTACCCAGTCCTACCCAGAAATGGCACAGATTAGGCCTAGGACTGGTTTGGGATGGTTTCTCAAAAAGAATCTTGGAAATTTGTGGGGATGCAGAATATCAGCTGCAATAGGAAAACTGACTTTCAAGGAAGCTTGTCCACCACTACTGATCTATTTTCTTAAGCAACTCCTGGGAAGCTGTCAGAGAGCTGTGGGCTTCTCTAGGACACAGCTTGAAAACCATTGCCCCAACTGATTAAATAAAGCAAATGAGCCAGGCTAAGCACACACTTTGTCTGAAGTTTAATGAATGGGAACTGCAAACATAACTCATAGCCAACAGTCCACAGGCCTTGGATTCTGCCAATGCATCAAAGGTCAACATGCATCTTGTAGCAAGACAATGTGGTCCTTGTGAGGAGGTGAAGATCAGCATTGTTTGTTGGTTATACAAGGTTTGTCCAAAGGAGGGAGGGAAGGAGAGACAAAACATCAGGTCTCCGGAGAGAATGCTCAGGTAACTGGTGCTCAGTGATGTCCTGTCCTCTGGAACAGCTGTTCACCCAAGGATTACGCCCAGCTCTACATGACAACAGATAATGGCTCTGCTCATGTGACTCCCAAGGGACAAGAAGAGCTTAATGGCTCACAGTTGAGACATGATCCCTGGAATCATAAAGACAGAACTATCTGCAGCATTTTTGGGAAAGAAGACTCAGGTCTCCAGCTATTCAACAGAAAGCCATGAGAACCACACTCCTGCACAAGAGGGCTCTGCCTGCTTTTCCTAGGAAGCCCAGCTAGCTCATTAAAGCAGTGTTGCCCCAACATCTGATAAGAGAAACCTTTTTCCCTATTAAAATTGGAGGTTCCCTGCACCCTTAACCTCATAAAGGGTTCTTTTTAAAGGGGGTAAGTATTGCCCACTGGTAGAAGAGAACCCCTCTCTCCTTGCGTCTCTGCACAAGTCAGTGTTTCTTAGGAGGAAGGAAGCCCTGAACACCTACTCATGCAGAGGTACACCGGGTAAGTCATCCCTGTTGTCATGCATTGGTGGGAGAATGCTCTGAACACACCCTGATAAAGAGGGGCTGAAGGCTTGCTGTTGCTGTGCTCTTCCTCCAAGAAACTCCGGCTATTGGGCATAGTCATCACCACTGCATCTACTCACAACAACCTTGTGAGGTAGGTTAGACAGGGAGAAAATGCAGTCCAAACAAGGTCACTGATTGAGCTTCATGGCCAAGGGAGGGGTTTAAACCTCTCTTTCACACACACCCAAGTAAATTATAATAGAGAGGAGAGAAGGTAAGACTAAGCTCATGAATGCACTGTGGGTGAACACTTTGGGCTCAGAAAAGGCCTTAACATCTCACTTCACACTAGCAAGTGTATCATGGATATCAGTGGTGCCTCGACACACACATCTGGGAATCAGCTTTTTAAGCTCTCTGCACACAGCAGGGGTGAGGAAAATTTATTCAGGCTGGGGGCCACATTCTCCTGCCAGAGGCCACATACAAGTGACAGACAAGGCCAGAGGCAAGAGTGGGCAGAGCAATTAATAAAAAGTTTGCCTTGGTACAGTAGGCTACTTTCAGCAAGCATTCAAACTTCTGTTTCTCTATTCTCCACAAAAGCAATCAACGTAGGAACAAAGGAAGCTACAAGGGACTGAGTCAGACCATTGGTCCATCCAGCTCTACCCTGACTGCCTTCTTCTCTCCAGGATTTCAGAGAAGTGTGTCTCCCAACCCTGCCTGGAGATGTCAGGGATTGAACCGGGCTATAATAATAATAATAATAATAATTATTATTATTATTATTTATTGTTCTTTATACCACACCCATCTGACTGGGTTTCCTCAGCCACTCTGGGAAGCTCCCAACAGAATATTATTAAAAATAATAATAAAAGTGATAAAAGATCAACACGTCTGCCATCAGATGTCTTCGAAAAATCAGATAGTTGTTTATTTCCTTGACATCTGATGGGAGGGTGTTCCACAGGGCTGGTGCCACTACCAAGAAGGCCCTCTGCCTGGTCCCCTGTAACCTCACTTCTCACAGGGAGGGAACTGCCAGAAGGCCCTCGGAGCTGGACTTCAGTGTCCAGCCTGAACGATGGGGGTGGAGATGCTCCTTCAGGTATACTGGGCAGAGACCATTCAGGGCATTAAAGGTCAGCACCAACACTTTGAATTGTGCTTGGAAATGTACTTCCTCAATACAAAGCAGATGCTCTACCACTGAGCTACAGTTCGTCCATCAGGAGGGGGACAGGGCAGTTGCGAATCTACACTGTCTTCTATTCTGCCCTGTGTGTGCTGGCAAAAATAAATAAATAAAAGTCTAGTGATTCGTCAGACCTCCTCCACCTTAGACAGACACGAGGCATCATCTCTCAGAAAGCTTCTGAGTTCTCACTAAGTAACACTCTCCCAGCCCACACCTCTCTTTTTCAGACTCTCCCACTCCCTCCGTTTGCCCCTGACCTTGGTTCTCTTTTGCAGCACACAATAGCATACAGCACTTGCTTCGCCCCCGACAAAAATGACGGCTTCGCGATAGAGGAGGAGAGAGCAGAAGGAGAAAAGGAGAGGATGCGAGATGGGGGGGGGGGAGAGAGAGAGAAGGAAAAACCCATCCAAAGCAGAACGTTAATTAATTGAGGCTTTTGTTCAATTTCTCAACAAGCATTTAAACGAGCAGACTGAGTTACACCGAGGATGATCATATCACACCGAGGCAACGGATGGTGCAGAGCAGCCAAATTTGGAAGGTGGCAGCAGGCTGGGGTCCTTTGCTTCGAGGGGGAAGTGCCTGGGCTTTTGCCAGTACCACCCCACCTTGCAGCACCTCAGGCTGGTATCGACATTCCAGTAGACACATCTGCAAGCAGCCATCAGAGGCACAACACAAACAATGTTGTCACGGGGGTGTGATGGGGTAGTGGTTATGGTACAACAGGGCTGGGGGTCTGCAGACAGTGGAGGCTGGTCCGTTTGGACAAACGGGGAGCTGCCCCACCAATCCCAGGCTGCTCTCAGCCAGTTCCTACTTGCCTACCTCCTTACTTAAAACCATTCCAGGAGATAGCAGTCTATCATCTTCCTTCTCCTTAATTTCAGTGTTGCCCTTGTAGAACCCAGCAGAGAGAAGGATAGGGATAAAATTAGAAATAGATGGTTCCACCCAGGGCTTTTTTCAGCTGGAACTCACAAGAATTCAGTTCCAGCACTTCACCAGCTGCAAAGGGCACCAGCCACCACTATCTGAAGCCCTCTAGATGCTGTTGGTTCCAATTCCCATCAGCTCCTTTTCCTTCAAGAATGGTCAATGGTCATGGATGATGGGCAAGCCCAACAACTTCTGGAGGGTCACAGGCTCTTCAGCCTTGGTTTTACCATAACCACTGCCCAGTTGTATTGCCACCATTCTGCAGGCAGAAAGACAAGCAAAAGCAACGAAAACCCATTGCAACAAGGCAGCATGGCCATCAGATGCATCAGTTTCTGGCCAAGGTTCAACCAACACAATGAAATAAAGGCCTGGTTATGTTCTGGTCAGATTCAAATCTATATGCTTCCCAGATGCAGGAAGAAGCATGAGAACAGTGATGAGGGTCTCAGAACAGCTCTACATACAAAAACAGGCTCTACATACAAAATGTTTCAGGTTCAGTCTTCAGCATGCCCGGATAGGACTGGGGAAGACTCCTGGTCTGAAACCCTAGAGAGTCACTGCCAGTTAGTGCAGAGAATGTCAAGCTGGACAGATTCATGATCTCACTTGGTACAAGAAAGCTTCCTATGCTCCTAACTGGGTGACTGATTAACTGACCAGAAAGGTTCTTGCCCACTTCATCCTACTCACATGCCAATGTTTTTCAACAACCTGTTACTCCATCTCCATTAACTTGCCCAATAGTTCAAGGGAGGAGCTAAAGGAACTTCCATGAGATGTTGTTTAATCAGAAACTGTAATGGCAAACCACAAAATTCAGGAAGTACCTCTAAGAAGGAGGTACCAGCTGATGAGTGGGAACAGGGTGGAGCTACCACTGGAGCTTTGGCACAACTGGGATAGTGGTTAAAGTATTGGGCTAGAACTTGGGCAATCAGGACTCAAAACCCATTCAGCCATGAAGCTCACTAGATTATTTTGGGCCAGCCGCTATCTCTCAGTCTACCCTTCCTCTCAGAGATATTTTTAGGATAAAATAAGAAAGGGGAGAAGCATTTGTGCCACCTTGAGCTCTGTAGATATGAAATGAATGGATGAATGGATATAGAATGATTAAGGTGCTTCCACTTGCAACAATCAAGCTAGTCCATCTGAACTGAAGGCAATCAACTTGAGGGATCAGTTCAGTGTTGATTGTGATTGTTTACTGCATATTTACATGTATATCCACCTTCCCTCCAAGGAGGGTGTCCCTTTTATGTCTTCATGACCTCCCTGTGAAGTAGTTTAGGTTGAGAGAAGATGGTTGGTCCATGGTTACTCAGTGAGCTTCACAGCTGAGTCCATCCAATCTTCATCTGACACTTTAACCACTGGATTAGAAGAACAGATGAGCAGGAAGCCAAGAATGTATGGATGCCCAATCTTACCTCTACCACAAACTCTTTAGGTGACCTCAGGCAAGCTGCTTTATATAGGCTACACCACCACCTGCTTCCCACAATAGGGAGTTAATGCTGAACTTCCTGCACAGGGGTTGTTGTAAAGTTTACAAGCTAATGTATGCTTTGCAATTTGAACACTTCTAAAGTGCCATATAAATGCTATTATGAGGTCTGGCAGGCTGATTCAGCACGATTGATGACTCACAAACGCTTTGCATGGAAGCACCTTAATCCATCACTCAGCACCAGGACACATGCTTGAAATGTAGAAGGCATCTCCAGTTTAAAACTTCTGCCTCAGATCTTGAAGAGATGCTTCTGGTCAGAGTAGATCAAAGGTAACCAATGCAGTACTCTCCAGATGGTGCTGAACTATCATTCCTGATCACTGGCCATGATGGTTGGGGCTGATGGGACTTACAGTCCAAGAGCATCTAGAAGGTGCCACATTGGTTATTCCTGGGATATGTAGCACCAAGATAGATAAAGCGGTAACCAGGCTCTGTAAGGCAGCTTCTTACATATTTTTTGTGGCGTGTGTGTATTACAGGCACACATGCCATAACAATGATAACATAACTATTTGACCATAATAAAGAACATCTGATGTTTAAAACCCAATAATCAGGATGGAGGCCTCCAGGGGATGGCCCAAGGCCAGAGAGCATAGAGCTGATTTCAAAATATAAGTTCTTGTGGTGAGGAGGCTCCCTCTCGCTTTTCTCTTTTGGCTATCATCTCCTCCCCAGTTGTTTTGAAGCCAAGCAGACTTCTGCCAAGACCCCTCCCCCAAAAAACCATACAAGCCAAACTCAACCTAATCAAGATTAGTGAAAGAACAAACACACAGCTCCACACCACCATATCAGAAAACATCATGGTTCCACCGCTATGGCTAATATGGTATTGAGGGCACGCAGTCAGGTTGCAGCCAACTTGCAGACCTTGGCTTGTAGATAGGCCTGTGGATTTATGAGCACCAGCTCTTTCTCTGCTGAGGAACATTAAGAAGTTGATTTGTACCAAGTCAAACCACTGGTCAACCTGCCTCAGCACTGTCTACCACTGGTCTTCAGCTGGTGGGTCAGGACCCACTACTGGCCTGATCCAAAGTGGGTCACAACAGGAGCACTACCACCGTGCAAATATATGGTAAATGATTATGAAATAGAGCCCCAAATGGAGGGAAGAATGCTCTTGAGCTCAGCTCCTACTTGAAGGTTTCCCAAAGGCATCTGAGTGGCCAGTGTAAAAACAGGATGCTGGACCAGAAGGTCCATTGACCCGATCCAGCAGGCTTCTCCCTGTGTTCTTATGGTTGAAGACTACTGGCCTATACTGACTGGCAGTGGCCTTCCAGGGTTTGAGAGAGAGGAAGCAGTCTCTCTCAGCCCTATCTGAAGAAGCCAGTGAAAGAGCCCGGGTGTTCTCATATGCATAGCATGCCCCACCACTAAGCTGTGGTCCTTCCCCTTCCAGCTAGCCATCAATATCTGTCAATATCTCTCCTCCACAATAAGTCAAGTACCTTTCTCTAACTCAACCTCTCAACCATGGGCCCTGTTTGCAGCTGACATTAGTAGGACGCTTTCTGAAGCAATCTTGCCTTAGACAGGATAACCCCAAAGTGGTGCCAGGTTTCCCATTCCAAGCTCTTGTAAGAACCAACCAAAGATGTTTTGCTGCGGAAGGGAAAGAAGATGAGGGTGCCCCCTCCTGTTCTGAGGACAGAAGCCGATCAGTGAAGGCTGATCCATTAGGGTGAACAGCGCACTGACCTACCAACCTTAGTGAGCCCTTGCCATCTTGCTTACCAACATTCCAGAAAGTATCACTGACTGTCAGCTCCTCCTCCTTAAGTCTCAATGTTGCACCTGCAGGCCTCATCGGAGGAGAGGATGGAGACAGCACTAGGTTTAGTGGGCTCCTGCCTTCTCTGACCCACCAGTCCCCAATGGAGCTGCTTGGACTGGAAGCTGACTCTTATTTCAACACTGGTGGTGGGATTGCATCTGCCTCCACACCAGAGGCAATAGGCCAAATTATGTGGGCCAAAACAGGCCCTGTGGCAACACAGGGGAATGGCAGGGGGAGGGGTTTGTGAGGAAAACCCTCAGCACCTGCCACCCGAGGCAGTTGCTTCAGTCTGCCTAAAGGCTTCCTTCCTGAAAAGAAGGAAAAGGAAGGCTCAAGATTATTTTGAAGAGCGGCTATCATTTTGATTTTTCATTTCCCACATGAAAGCACCTACAGCCAACGAAAGTCTCCAACTATCATAATTCTCCAAAGCAAGTGACCCCCACCAAGCAACACAGTTAATGAAATTAAAAGCCCCTAACTGGGCTTAAACAGAGAGACTGTTATCTCACAATAAACCAGTTAGGCCATCTTTAATGAAGAAAGCAGGTTACTCCATTTCACAGAGGGAAGTCCAGAGCAGGCGGTTCTCACATCTCCCCATCCCTTCACCCTGGCATCTGGGCTGTGCACCGTCTTACTGGGCAAATCAGGGGGCTTAAGCATAAAACGGAAGAAAGGAAAAGGTTGATCCCTTGATCTTCTCTCTGAACCCATTCATCTGCTATAACCTTGTGAGATGTTTCTTTTGTTAAAACAGTCCTCCACCCACCCACACCGTTACCTCCTTTAATAAGCAGAGGATGGGAGGGAGAGAGGGGAAAATTGATAGTCTTCCATAATTGCACATACCATAATAGACAATGCAAGGGTCAATCTAATTCTGCATCCTGTTTCCCAGAGTGGCCAACCAGGTGCCCCTTGAACAGCCCACAAGCAAGGCTTGAAGGATTCAGCTCTCTTTTGTTGTTTGTCACTGGCATCCAGTACTTGGTGGTAGACTGCCCCTGAACATAAAGTTCAGCTATTGTGATTGACAGCCACGGATGATGTTGCCATCCTTATGTATTTCCTAAGCACATTTAAAGGGTTGTTCCCACACCTTTTCAAGAAAATAATTAATCTTCCTCCTTTGTCTTCTTAGCCCCAAACCATAATTTTGCAAAATATTACAACCAGGCTGT